CCTGCACCTCATGACAGCAAAGGCTTCGCTAACGCTCAGCCAATTACTTTTGTCATTCAGCGATGTATTTCGGCGTATATTCGATTATAAGTGACTATGCCTGGCCCGCAAGCCGTTGCGCCGGGCTTAGTCACTTATAATCGAATAGACGCCGAAATACATCGCTGAATGACAAAAGTAATTACATTTTCGGATTCAGCTTAACAAAATCTAGCTGCATCTGTTCTTCGAGTTTTGAATTGCGTCCGATTTTAAGAGAAATCTGGGCGTTGCCATGCTCATGCGCTCCAAGCGGCTCAGAAGGTCTATTGTGTAAAACTTCACCTGCGGCTCATTTTCGATGCCTACGATTTAACATGGGATCGTTACCACATAGTGGTCACGCCGCAGGAAATGGGCGCATTTAAAACTATGCTAGGTAGTCACGCCAAACCTCGTTACTTTTTTACGATTGTGACATACCATTGTAAACACTGTCACGATTCACATTTCATTGAATGGAGCGTCCAACGTTCGCAACAGCATTGAAACGTTTTCAAAATATTTTAATAAAATCCAGTTTGGAATTGTCATTAGGATAAGCTTCTTAGAACTGGACACAACCAAATAACAACTTCAATGACACCGTCCAGGTCACCAACGCTGTCACGGATTGCCGCCTCATTGACTTCCAGATGTCTGTGTACGGACTTCCGGCGCTTGACATCGTCACCATCTTACTAGTTTGCACTGAAAAGCCGATGCGCGACCTGCACTGGGACAGCCTTTTGCAGGGGTACCACCAAGAGCTTCTCGCAACTCTGAGCGCGGCTGGTTGTTCGGAACCTGAAAAACTGTTCCCTTGGACACTGTTACAGGTAAGGATAACTGCATTTTGTTATGCGTAATACAATGTAACCGAAACGTACACTGTTTAAAAAGCCTGCAGGAAATGTCTACAGTACGTCCTGTCAATTTGTCACTAGACCCGCGACTGTAAATTTTGATTACAGTCCACTCCGTACAGGATGTACTGTAACTTCGCAAACTTTTTGGTCAATACAGCACTTGACTTCGACACTGAAGTACAGCCCATATCATTACAGTCTGGCCTGTACATAGAATATACAGGACGGACTGTAATCGAACTGTACTTCCTCACAGCATTTTAACAGTGTAGAAGTAGTGCAATATCTAAAAATAGGAAAATGTGCTCCAAAATGGTAGAATTTAGGTTGCGCAGCCTCTTCAGCACCGGCGTAATGCCGCGCAGAGACACGAAAATTCCGAGTCAAAACCCTCTTGATGAGAAATACATTGGTACTTAACACCCCAGTGTTGTGGCAACATGCACAACATCACTGTCCTCCTTATGAAGACCGTGGCTGCCGCCCTCTTCCAACAAAAGCTACATATATTATTTAGTAACAAGTTGACGGGTGCACCAACTAAACGTTCCGTGAACGTCAACTGTACTCGTCCTTTACTAGTTTGGCATGGCATGCTGTAAGTTAGGGCAGATCTGAGGAACAACTACAATCGTGAAGTATGAAAAGAAGAAACTCACTGACTTTTCTGTTTCCGTAATGGCTCCGATTGGTCGATCTAATCACGTGCCTCCGCGGTCTTTCAGGTATGAGAAACTGTCAGATCAGTTTCGAGCTCCCCTCCATATTTGAGAGGTTAGGATCGGAACAAACTACCATGATAATTTCTCATACTGGGCGGGCGGAAACATATACGTCAGTGAGTTGGTTCTTTTTCACTTCCATTTTAGATAGCCTAGAACACCCCATTCACCACCATTGACCAGTGTGGGTTGCCATCCTTTTTGTGCTTTTCCCGTAGCACACCTTTTCAGCAAATTGTGAACTTGTTTCTGAAAAGAAAACTGAACTACATTTTTCTCTGATTCAACATCTGGCATCTAAAGTAAAGTAGGAGGGTAATATTTGGTTATTGCAACACTTGTTGCATCTGGGTTAAACCTTACATTTTACAGACAATTCTTAAAGTTGAACAAGTTAACCCTTACTTTATTTATTTTTAAATTGACGTTTTTTCCGGTTACCAGAAACATTAAAACGAGAAGTCAGTAACATGTTAAGACAATTACTTTATTCCTAGAACGCATTAGAACCAAACATCGGCGACATAAATAATTACATTATCCGTGGGGAATATTAAAGGCATTTAAGTTTTTTAATGGTTTTTCTTTGTCTTGAAATTGTTCCAGGACCAACTTAAGATAGCAGCTCCTTACGGTTTGTGCATGACGCCCGTTTACCACTACGGGTTGTACTCAGACGCCGAAACTGTTGAAGAAATGAGACAGATGATGGCAGACATTTCAAGTGGTGGACAATGCAATATGACCATCAAAGTGACGCCAGCATTAAAAACACGTTTAGAAGGCCTCGTACAGGACGTGGCAGACAGGGGTTGGCTGCCGACTGTGGAGGAACTTGAGAGCCGCCTGGCTGCATATGCTCAGGAAAAGACGAGCGCCTGATAATTCTAACAAGTGAAACCGTAAAAGATAACTCACAGTTTTAACAACTCTTCATTTCTGAGGCATACTTTCCAGTAAGGAAGGCAAAAGTTACGCGCAGGCCTAGGTAGATGTATGCCAGGCGTGTCCCAGCGTTACAGTGTTTCGTGAGATATCACGAAGCCTGTTACGTGAGACGTGGTCTGGCGTACATCTACCTAGTGTAAAGTGGGACGTAACCACAGTTTTGTTCGCTGCATTAGCATTATGACCGCTCCAATCCATTGGGGATTTTATTATTTCTTCTACGGTATTGGTTTTAAAAGAAGTATACTAAAGGCGGATCACAAACCAGTCGCTGAACAAAGAAGAATCAGAAAACGGTCGCAAAACAACGACGTATCTGCTTTTTGATGATTAGGACATTGTCCTATGAAGTAGCCTTGCACTATCCTTAGAGATGTCGCATCGTATCGGGTGTTTTCTTTTCGGCTGAGCGATAGAGAAGCCTATTACTCCAGTAATGATCAAAAAGTTTTGCGCCTGTCTGTTTGTTTTTCTGTCCGCAAGATACCTCGAAAACGGTTTGAGCTAGAAGGCTGCAT